TTTTTTTTTTTTTTTTTTGAGAATATATTAGGAATGATAGTTCTGGTCTTGCGAAGTAGTTGAGATATTTTGTCCAGAAATTATTAACTGCGAAAAGGTTCAGATTGCCGTACCTGCACGCAAATCGCCAAATTGTTATCGAATTGGTAACCGTCCGGACAGCCGCACTTATAACTGCCAATTGTATTGATGCAAGTGCTATCGCCACAAGGCGACGTATTGCATTCGTTTTCGTCGATACACTGATTGTAATAGAGATGTTGAATAAAGCCTTCCGGACAGCCGCATCGGTAACTGCCCATGAAGTTCTGGAAATCAAAATTCTCGATATGATATCTTTTTAAAAGCGAGAATTCGGGTTATTGGTACTAATCAGATATGGCCGATTATCGTTAAACTTTATATCAAGAAATATTTGCAAATTTACCTGGCAACCGTGTTCACAATTGGCATCGTCAGCACACTCGTTGTGATCCGTGCAAAATCTCCCGGTATGATCCAGTTTGAAGCCTCGCGGACAGATGCACTGGAAGCTGCCTAGAGTGTTAATACACTTACCAGGTTTTGGACAAATTCCCGGCTGATCGCATTCGTTGATATCTGGAAGAGAAAGTTATAAAAAATAGATGAGAAATCATTAGTTTAGTGAAACGGAATCGGATGATGCAAAGTTGGAAGAGACATGTAACCATGACACGCGTCCCCTTGTTGATTGTAACCCTCTTGGCATCCACAAATATAGCTTCCCGGAGTGTTAACGCAATTCTGCTGGCACAAGTGACTTCCGGTCGCGCATTCATCCATGTCCCTGCAGCTAACTCCGTCAGGGTTTAAGATGAAACCTGTCGGACATGAACAGATGAAACTGCCCTCGGTGTTCTGGCAGTTGTACTTGCACGGTTTCGGCGTCATTTCGCACTCGTTGATGTCTGCCAATACAATTTAGTGCAATTATGATTGTCAGAAGTATTCTTAGAACACTGTAATTATTTATTCAGGGAATCTTACCGATGCAGTTAATACCAGATTTATCAGCTTTGTAGCCTTTATTGCAAATACATCTGTAGGAGCCGAGAGTATTGACGCATTGACCATTCTTGCAAAGATCGGGTATGGTGTTGCACTCGTCGATATCTAAAAATTCAGGTCGATAGAGAACAGAATCCCATTATTGTCACAGTTAATAAAATCACACGATTATGTGATAGCAAAATTCCAAATGTCATATTGAAGAATGATATTGAAGAACTGTACCTTGACCGTTCACGGAAAATCCTTTGTCCAGGCAAAGCTCGTTATAATTATCGGAGTCTCGGGACGGGCAGATCTCGCATTGCGGTCCCCATGCTGCCCCCATAGTGCAGCAACAGTCTGCCTTCGTGACTGTACGTAGTTCTGAAGTTCTAGCGGTGCATCTGCCGCCAATCGTTTGCAGGAAACAATAGCCGACTCTTCGATCTGGCCACAAGGAAATACCGACATATTTCTTTATCCGTGTTGGAAGTTATAGAGTACTTGTGTTATTTGTATTTATTATTTAAATTTTGCTTCATACCGATACACGATTTTCCATCGGGACTTTGCTCGAAACCTTCATAGCAAAGACATTGATAACTTCCTTCCAAGTTGACGCAACGTCCATGTTGACAAAGACCAGAGTTAATGGCGCATTCGTTGATATCCTTACATTCGTCCCCCGTTCCTATCTTCTGGTACCCGGGCGGACAGATGCACATGAAAGTGCCGATCAGATTCTTGCATTGGAATCTGCAGTCATTCGCTGGCGTGACGCATTCGTCCACGTCTGAAAATTAAAGTTTTATTCGGACGGTATTTGATTATATACATTCACGATTTGCTATTTCTATATACTATTATATCTCTATATATTTTTGTATATACAAAAAACATGAGGGAATATTGAAAAATTATATTAAATAACTTTTTTATGTAATATAATTTTTTATAGTATATTAATTATTATTTAATAATATATATTAATATATATATATATATATATATATATATATATATATAGAGAGAGAGAGAGAGAGAGAGAGAGAGAGAGAGAGAGAGAGATTATATAATAAAAAATAGATATTAATATATATTATACGTGGCTTATAATAATTATTTGTTATATGTGGCTTATAATATTGCTTGCCTATACAATGGCGGCCGTCAGGCGCCAAGGTGTATCCATACGGGCAAATGCAACGGAAAGAGCCTGGCGCATTGTGGCACCTGAAAGCGCACTGATTGCCTAGCTCCAGGCACTCGTTCACGTCTTCGCAGACTTGATTAGCACCCGGCGCGAATCCGTCGTTACAGGCGCACTCGAAGCCACCGTCGATGTTGCGGCAAGTGCCGTTACCGCAGATGTTCTGGACACTCAAACACTCATTGTTGTCCACGCACCGTCTCCCGGTTTCGTCCAACACGTATCCTGTCGGACACTCGCATCGGAATGAGCCATCTGTGTTGATGCATTCGCCACCGGAACAGGCATCCGGCATGAACAGGCACTCATTCAAATCAATACCGGTGTCGTCCCTGCCTGGTCCCTCCGGGCATAACCTCTTGAATTCCTCTAGATGAACATAATTAGTTGCGCGTTACTCTTCTGGATTCTTCTTCTAAATAAACATATCATGTCTTCTTGATATGTTTCCTAAGGTAGTCGGACTGTAGAACGTTTTCCTTCAATGATCTATAGCTAAAGTATATGTAACTGATCACTTTGACTATTTTTTCGACGAAACAATTCTGTTTAAATATATTTTCTGGAAATATTCGTTACCGCTGTTTTCCTGTGGACACGGTTCACAGTAACGTCCCCAAGCCTTGCCCATCGTGCAGCAACAATGTTTCCTTGTCATACCGCCTTCTCGTGGGCTGGTGCATTGGCCTCGCCTGTAAGTGTCATAGCACAGCTCTTCTCTCACGTCGATGCACCTCATCGAGTTCGGTTTGTCGCTCAATCGATATCCGACCGGACATTCGCAAATCACGCCGCCTTCTGTGTTGATGCACCGACCATTCTCGCAAATGTCTCTCGTCTCCACGCATTCGTCCACATCTACGGGATGATTATGAGATATGTAAATTTAAGAGCTTTGAAAAGTTTGTGCATACGATATGACGCAGGATGAATAATCAATATGTATTGATGTGAAGATTTACGAACCGGCGCATTTTTTCCTTGTGTGATCTAATTCGTATCCCGGTGGGCAAGAACATATATAAGATCCCATCAGATTCTGACATTTCCCTGGCGGCGGACACAACCCCGGTATCTGCAACAAATTCAACAATGGAAAGTTTTAATTTCTAGAAAATGTTTATATATTTGATTTATATAAAAATGATCAATGTCTAATTTAAGACTTGATACGCGAGCATATAAATTGAATGTAAAGAGTCATATTTAGCCCCATTTTGCGACATTTGAAATTTTAAATTATTTTATTAACAGAGACTTTCATGATAAAACTTTCATTTTATTGATAAAAATATTATTTATTTTAACAGAATATGTATCTTTATGGGCCACTTTCCTAAATTGTGAAGCGTATCTCTGTCTCATTTTTATACTTATATACTTTTAATCTATTTTCAGTAGCTACAATTTTATCAAAAAATAATTTAAGATTTCGAATGTCATAAAATAGCTAAAGGGCTAAAGGTTTATGGAAGCTTGGCCCTTTTCTTTAAGAAACTTGTTTTATCTTAGTTTACCTCATGGCATTCATCGATGTCACGGCAGTGTTGACCGTCCTGCGCCAATACGTAACCGTCTGCACATTCACAAATAAAACCGCCAATCGTATTGCGGCATCTGCCATTGCGGCACAAAAACGGCATTATTCGGCACTCGTTAATATCTGAAATATATTCGTTAAAATCATGACGTGCAAAACAAATCTCTACTAAAGAATCAAAGTTAAATTAAAGAAATCAGAATCTTCTCTCTTTCACTAACTTACCCGCGCAATCGTTGTTAGGACTGAGCTTGAATCCTTGATAGCACTGACACTTGTAGGAGCCCAAGGTGTTGATACAAGTACCGTTGTTGCATATATTCGGATTGCGCTGGCATTCGTCGATGTCGACGCAGTTGTCTCTATCGCGAGTCAGCGAGAATCCGGAATGGCAGACGCACTGGAAGCCACCTTGCAGATTGTTGCACGCGCCGTTGTTACAGATACCCGGTCGCTCATAACATTCGTCAATGTCGACGCAGTCGTGTTGACTAAGACCAAGTTTGTAACCAGCTGGACACACGCACTCAAAGTATCCCTGATGATTGCGGCACTGTGCGTTACCGCTGCAGGGATTCGGTATCTAAAAATGACGGAAATTTCAAATCTCAGTATGATCACAAATAATAACTATAAGGTCATTTTGATTTACTATTGTTTGATTTTTTTCTATATTCTCAGAAGAAAAGGAAGAACTGAAATCTCTTAATTATGCGAAAATATCCAAAAGCCGCACCTGCAGACACTCGTTCTCATCGATACACTGATGTGAATCCTGATCGTAAACGTAGCCTCGATCGCATTGACACTCGAAACTACCAGGTGTATTCATGCACCGTCCGTGGGTGCACATCGTCGGCATTAGGGCGCACTCGTCGATCTCTTCAGAGTGATTCGTGATCGGATTCATGATCTGACCCGGTACCAATCCGCACAGTATCTCGTGCTCGCCTGACAAGACCGACCGATAATTCCATTCTGTACGTCAATAGTTTGATTGAATACTTACGGGTACGTGCTTCAGGACATCTCTCGCAATTGCTGCCCCATGCAGCGCCCATGGAACAGCAGCACAACATTTTAGTCTGTGGCTGCTGCATGGGATTGAGACACTGTCCGGAATCGTAGATGAGATAGCAGAATTCTTTCCTCATGTCGACACACTCCTCTAAAAGAACAAATGTGTAACAATTGTGTGAATCGTCCGCTTTTCTTGTAGCAATTTTAATTTACATTTTCATCGTATTTTAATTTAATTTTATTTATATCCTTCTTGTATTTAGAGCACGATATCATGAAATATTTTAGACTGATCTATTCTATAGTGGTCGCGCGTGACCTCTTGATCAATTTAATTTTAATAAGATTGGATATGAAAATATTTAGGTGATTGTTATATTTGGATTTACTAACTTCCTCCAGGCATTGCCATGTATCCTTCGGGACACTCGCAATGATATTTCCCTTGGTCATTGATACAGTATCCTACTCCGCATATGTGTGGATGCAGTGCGCATTCGTTTATGTCTGCAATAATTTTTGTGTTAAACATATCGTTATCTAATCATGTCATGATTAGAATTAGATCAGTTATGACATATTAGATTATATAAGATAGGGAAATCCAGGTAGGGAAAATCTTGTGATAAATACTAAATTAAATAAAATACGAAATTAATGTTAAATTAAATAAAAAAATCGAAACTATAGAGCTGTGAAACTTTAAAATTTGTATGTTTTGGAACTTCTCACTCAGATATTTTTATTACCGATGCAATTGGTTTTAGTGTCGTCCAAGATGAAACCTTCGTTGCAGGAACACATGAAACTGCCAAACGTGTTGGTACAGTGCCCATTCTGACATATATTTTCATGTTCCTCACACTCATTGATGTCCTCCAGAATAACAGTTATACGATTCGGTCTATATCCCGGCCCACTGGGGCACAATTGCTCATATTCCTTTGTGCCGATCTGCGGGCACTCTTCACAACGATTGCCCCAGGCATTGCCGATACTGCAGCAACATGTTGCCTTCGTCATCGATGACGCCATCTCGAAAACGCACTGAGGCCTTCCGGTACCATGCTCGAAACCCGTGAAGCAAAACGATTCGCGTCTATCTGCGTGATGGATAGTAAATCAGGGTAGTAGGAATACGCGAAACGTACAAATGGCTTAAGATTCAATGGCACGATACACACCCACGCAAGCATTTCCAGCTTCCACGAGGTCATAATGCGGTGGACAGCGACAGAGGTATTTGCCTTGCGTATTGATGCAAGTGCCATATTGGCAAGACTGCGGACTCTCGCACTCGTCCACGTCAGTGCAATTGCCGCCGGAACCATCAAGTTTGTAACCCTCGTTACACTCGCAGCGGAACATGCCAAAGATATTCTCGCAGTGACCGAAAACGCACAGGTTGCTGAACATCTCGCACTCGTTGATGTCTACGCACGCCTGTTCGTTGTGTTCATCCGGATGCATGAAACCCATCTCGCACTCGCAGCGATAAGCACCCGGATAATTCAGACAGTGCCCGTTCTCGCAAAGTGTGCTGTCTTCTGTGCACTCGTCAATGTCCTTGCAGTTATAGCCGTCGCCTCGAAAGCCAGCATCGCACACGCACTACAAGAGAATGAATTTCGAGATTAATTTGAGAATTTAAATGTTAAAATTGATTTTTCTAGTTTCTAAATAAAATCAACTTTTTAAAATAAATTCAATAATAGTTGAAGAATTAGTAGCCGCAAGTATTCCCAGGATTGGGATTAAAATTAGGATTAGAAAAGTTAGGAGTGTTCTTTGTATCGATTGATTGATATTTCGCCGCTATTCGTTAGCTCTCAAGACTATTTGTTTTCGTTATTTCTCAACTATTCGTTATTTCTCAAGACTATTTGTTTTGAAAGGTACAATGAATACCTTGAAGGAACCCTCAGTGTTGATACAGTGAGCGTTGGAATCGCAACCACCGTTGTTCGTGGAACATTCGTTAATGTCCCAGCATTCGATCCCGTTTCCGGTGAAACCCTCGTGACAGGTACACACGTATGAGCCTTGAGTATTCTGACACTCGGCAAACTCGCTGCAGGAGTAAGCGTTTAAGCGACATTCGTCGTCGTCGCTACAGGCGGGTCCTTCCGCTGGCTTCACCGAGTATCCTTCCTCACAGCGACAGTTGAAGGAGCCGATCGTATTGTAGCACTCGCCGAATCCACATATTCTTGGTTGCGTTGCGCACTCATCGACATCTGATAATATACAAGTTATAATAACATTAATACAATTGTATTAACAAGTAACATCAGTAACATACACATAGAGAACGATTTATTGAATCAAATAAATGTTTCTTTGGAATAGTCCAAACAAATTATTTTGGTTGACACAACAAAAATATTTTTTTGAAACCAAGCCGCAAATAAATATTTTTGTTGCGTCAAACAAAATTTTGTTCGATCAACCAAAAAATTCGTTTGGACTATTCCAAAGTAGTGTTTATATGATTCAACCAAATCTCTCTGTATAGATAACATAATTTCGATATGAATAATAGTGAATGTGCTGTACTCACCTGAACAGGACATACTGTCTCTTCCAGGAAGTAAACCGTTCGTACAGTTGCATATGTAGCCGCCTGGTGTATTTCTGCATTTACCTCCGTTGCAGATTCGTGGGTTCTCCTTGCACTCGTCTACATCCACGCAAGTTCGACCGTCCAGATTCAAAGCGTAACCAGTGCTGTAAATGATTAATAAGCATGCATTGTTAACGATTTAATCTCAAGTCGTACACTGAGAGAAAAGACTGGTAACTATAACAAACTGCATTTAATTACAGAAATTCGTTGAATCTTTAGTAACTAATACTAAATGTGATAATAATTACCAAATATTTAACAGATCGGGAGTATGACGTAATTGCATTCACAGTAACATCAATTAAATAATTTAGTAATAGTTACTTAATATTAATATTAATATTAATATTAAATATTTAATATGAAATATATTACAGTTATGAACAGTTATTTGATAATTGTTATGAAATTGTTATATCCCATGTAATAAAAGATTCAGTAAGTACGAATTCTATTTTGTTACCAATATAAGTATGTTTTGTTGCAGCACAACGAAAAATTCATTCATTTGCAGCTATTACATCGTTTCAATATCTATTATTACAGATGGTTGGTTGAACCTACCAAACATTTTGTAACTATTATAAAATCGCTTATTTTGCTCAACTATTCAATAAGTTTTATTTACCAAATATATTCTGGAAACAAATAAATTTTACTTCTGTCAAATAAATAATTTATTTTACAGAACTAAATTAATTAATAAGTATTGCCATAGCTTTGGCCCGCTATATTTACGTCTACCATTTAGTAATAGTAACCAAATTTTGATAATATTTATTAAATTCTTCTCTCAGTGTAGGAAGATACTAATTATGCGTGGATATGTTATAAAATTTATCAAATAAGTGCAACGCAATTATCGTAGTATTAGCCATCAGAAAAAGATTTTTACCGACAAGAGCAGGAGAAGCTGCCCGGAGTGTTCAGACAAATGTCCTCGCAATTACCGTTGCCAATTGCGCATTCGTTGATATCTTCGCAGTGGGATCTGAGACCCGTTTGTTGATAGCCGTCGTCGCATATACATTGATAGGTGCCCATCATATTCTCGCAGACGCCGTTCGAGCAAATACCACTGGTCCTCGAGCACTCGTCTATGTCTTTGCAGGACTGCTTGTCGGGCCCCAGTTCGTGCCCCGGAGGGCACTGACAGTTGAAGCTCCCCTCGGTGTTGATACAAGTGCCGCCGCGACACAATCCCGGCATCTCCTCGCACTCATTTATATCTGGAATATTTTTTACGTGATTAAATCTGACAACTTTTATCGAATTTTTTCTCATACTGTACCCATGCAAATCTTCATGATGTCGCTGCTGCGATAACCAGAATTGCAGTCGCACTGAAAATGGCCGGGCATGTTTCTGCAGGTGCCATTCCCGCAAACTCCACGCATGATTTCGCATTCGTCGATATCTAGCAGTTGTTAATTAAATTTGATTAATTTTATATTAATCAACATGTGAATCCTTAAATTAATTACTTGAGTTTCTCTGCTGGCATAACACCTTCATTGTAAGTAGTTGTTGATATTTTTTCTTAGGACTTGTTTAAGATTTGGAATTTCATGGGAAAATCATTCTTCAGGTTTCAAATTGTTCGGATTTTAAGTTCCAAAATATTTCATATAAGAACTTACCGTTGCACTTAATTCCATGCTCATCGAGCGCATAACCTTGATTGCATCTGCAACTGTAACTGCCGATCGTGTTCTTGCATCTACCGTTCAGACACATGCCCGGAAACTCGATGCATTCATTGATATCTTGACGTTCTGTGAAACCTTCGCCCCGAGGGCACAACTCTGCATGGGTCTGTGTGCCCATTTTGGGACACAGCTCGCACCGATCGCTACCCCAGGCTCGGCCGACGGAACAACAGCAGAGGCTTTTAGGGAAATGGCCTTCTATGGGACTGGTGCATTGGCCATGACGATAGTCCAAGAAGCAAGTTTCTTGCCTGGTGTCGGTGCAAGTGGTATCTGTAATCGAGAAATTAGAGAAAAAATATTCAGGATGAGAAGAAATATCGAAAATAATAAGAAATGCATCAGTGTTGTCATAATTTTATGTACATATCATTTCAATTATCTCGATTTTATTTATATAATTTTCTTTGAGAAAATTGAGCGTGTTTGTGACAGTTCGTCGTCGCTTACGTGCTGCATCCAAGGTGAGACCAGGTGGACATTCACAACGATACGAGCCGTCTGTGTTAACGCAAGTACCGCCACCCTTACAGATACCACTGTTGAGTTCGCACTCGTTGATATCCGTGCAGCCCTTGCCATCCGCCTTCGTGTAGCCCTTTGAGCACTCGCAGAGAGAGTGATCGCAGATCTCGCAAGGGCTGCCCCAGGCCACGCCGACAGAACAGCAACACTCCGAACGCAAAGCTACTCTCGGTAGATTGTTCTCGCAACGACCATCTACCATCTTGGTCCAGCAGGAACCTTTCCGATTGTCTGGAATCAATTAGAATACTGCCTTTATTTATATATATCACACTTATTTATTTCATGATTATTTCGTTGTTGCTCGGAGAAAACGAATGGCTCGTACCCATGCAGATATGGCCAGTGTTGTCTAGAATGTATCCCGGTGAACACTCGCACTCGTAAGCTCCCAGAGTGTTGATGCATATGCCGTTGAAGCATACCTCTGGTCCCAACTCCTCACATTCGTCCACGTCCTCGCACATTTGATTTTGTGTATTGAATCGCATACCCGTAGGGCAAATGCACTGTGATAAATTAATATCATTAACAATCGCGAGATTTTTGTACTCAGTCATAAAATCAAAACACAGAACAGTGTAATTAATTAATTAATTCGTGATAAAACTGCAGTCAATTTTAGTTAATTATTATTTTTGCTTATTTAATAAAAATGTGCTAAGAGAATAGTTAACTTACCTGGAAACTGCCAGGCGTGTTTCGACATTGCCCACCGCTACACAAAGAGTCTTCTAGCTCGCACTCATTGATGTCGCTGCATATCTTTCCTGTCGCATCCACTTCGTATCCACTGTCGCAGATACATCGATACGTCCCCATAAGATTCTCGCATCCGCCATTGATGCAGATATTCGGGTTTTGGGCGCACTCGTTGATATCTATAATATATTTCGAGTTCATGTTATCTAATTTAATTAGAATTATCTCATTTAATTAGAATTGTGGAAATCTAAGCTTTTGAATTTTTACATACTAGAAATTTTTACTCATCTCTGAGCATCTGATTTTGAAGATTTGGAAATGTAGAAATTTCTCAGAAATTTAGAATTTGAAATCTCGGGTCTCTCTGAACAAAGTATTTGTTTACCATCGCCATTGTAAGTCATTCCGGCGCCATGCGGACATAAGGCTTCGAACTCTGAGGTGCCCGGAAGCGGACAGGGCTGACAAGTGCTGCCCCAGCCCAACGGCTGGCCCAGGATTACCGTGCAACAGCAACAACTGGACTTTGTCACGGCAGTGGATGTCGGGTTGGAACATTGGCCGTCTCTGTACTGCGAATAGCACAGATCTCTTCTCGTATCTGACCAGCGCGGAATCATCATTTATTAGATGTATCCAGACTTCACAATTGTATGTTTGGAACGAAACGCATAACGTATTTCGTACAGAAAATAATTGTTACGAACCTAGACAGGACCTTCCGTCAGGACCTAAATTGAATCCCAAGTGGCACTCACATCGGAAACTGCCAAGTGTATTGATGCAACGTCCATTTTGACAGGGTGAACTTACACACTCGTCGATATCTTGTAGGATAATTTTAACAAATAATTATAAGTAGAGAATTTTTTATAACGTAATATTTTTATTATCTAAATTCCAAGATTTTTCATTTTATATTAAACTTTGCGAGAAATCTAGAAAAGGTCTAGAAACTTGAGGAAATTTTATATTTTTCAAGTATGAAATTATCAGAACAGTTGAAAATTTAAATATTTAGTCTAGGAGAGTTCTTTTTTTTGGAAAAATATAATTTTGTTATTCTTATTGTTAGCATTGTCAATTGATATGAGATAAATACCAATGCAATGACTCAAATCAGGACCAATTCTGAAGCCAGAGTCGCAGACGCATTTGAAAGATCCTTCCATGTTAACGCATTTTCCGTTCTCGCACATGCCGCTAGTAGAACATTCATCCATATCCACGCAGAAAGTATTGTCTCGCGAGGGTGTAAAACCCGATTGGCAGATACAGTGGTAAGATCCTGGTGTATTTTCGCAACGGCCGTTTAGACAAATTCTCGGATTTTCTATACACTCGTTGATATCTAGAGACACAAAATATTTGCGCGAATTATTATCGCACAATCATTCCTTAGGATATCAGTGTAATTATACGTATTTTTTTGTTTACAATTTTAGCAAATCTGAAATACAAATTAGGCTAAAGAAATTTTCCTCACCTACGCAGGTGTTCTTTGACGGTGACAGGGTGTAACCGTCGTTACACTTGCATTTAAAGGACCCGTTCATGTTGATGCAATGTCCATTGGTACACATTCCCGTATCTTGGCATTCATCGTGATCTAGAAAAATATATTACCATCAATATTACTAAAATATTACAATTGGTACCATTGCTATTTCTGGTATTATCATTGCTGCCAGTGTACTATGGCTATTATTGCTGTCACTGTTAACAATTTCAATCATTAAACTCGCTATTTGTCAAGAGAGTTCAGTTACCTGTGCAGTATCTGCCTTCGCCGGACACGACAAAGCCGGGTGGACAGTTGCAGGCGAAGCTGCCAGGGTAATTGCGACAGGTTCCGCCTTGGCAATAACCTAACTGACACTCGTCTACGTCCTCACACCTACCACCGGGCTTTCTCGTGAATCCCGGGTAGCATTCGCATTCGTAACCTTCCTTAGTATCGATACAGTGCCCGTCGCCGCAAATGTCCGGTCGCAGCGCGCACTCATTCACCTCGGTGAAAAACTGCAGTTGCGAGCAAAGCCTGTTGTAATCATCTACAATTGAGTAATAACGTGGATCCTGTAGAATTATCAATCGTCATAGTGCTCGCTTTTATCTAATAGATGCGCTAATACTCGTCGGTTCTTCACGAACTTCGAGTCTATATTCGGTTTTGTTCGCTTCAAGAATTTCCTCGCGAAGTAGTTCGAGATGTTTCTCTTTGATGAATTATCGAAGACACTTCGCGAAGGATCAATTTTAATTTTGTACAGATGTAAGTAACAACGTGTAAAGTTGTACAATTAAATTATGCAGATATTGTGAAAAGTTACACATTTTTACGAAGTTCTCCAATCATGTACTGTTCGTTATATTTCTCTTTGAAGATGCGTACGTACCGCTGCCAGGATTAGGGCAGATAAAGCATTCGTCACCCCAACCTCGACCCATGTTCTTGCCGCAACAACAATCCTTCTTGCTCAGTCTCATCGCCAGTCGATTCTTACACTGTCCATTACGGTTCACCGCTGTGAAACACAATCCCTGCCTGCCGTCTGATGAACAACAATTAAAAAATTGAAATTATTTAATTGACGTTAACAAATACATAATATAAGAAAATATTTAATATTTCTGCAGTAACGCGTAATCACCGATGCAATATTTGCGGTCCTGGCTTTGTATGAATCCTGGGTTGCAATGGCAGTAATAGCCGCCGTTTGTATTTATGCATCGACCGTCGGCGCAAATGCCTTGCTCTTGACACTCGTCCTTGTCCTTGCATTCATTGGTCTCAGGATCCCTCGCTTGTCCCGGAGGACATTCGCAGGTGAACGAACCAGGGGTGTTCAGACACTTTCCACCTTGGCACAGTCCAGGAATTGCTTCGCACTCGTTGATATCTGGAAAGAATACGACACAATTACAATTACTATTATATTTATCTAAATTATTGAAAAATCGTGAACATCAATTATTTTTAGATTGTGTAAATATTTTAGTTATGTTTAGCTCATTTTTTTAGTAATTAAGATTCTTTGAGCAAAATTGGACCAGTGAGAGGCGAGAGGCAAGATTTATCGCGGACGTACCGACGCATTGACCCTGATTGGTCTTCAAGTAACCCAACTCGCAGTCCATTCTGACCGGACATCTCTCACAAGGGTGTCCCCAGCCCTTGCCGACGGTGGCGCAGCATAACTGTCGCGTACAAACCACCCCTTGGAGATTCGCCAAGCACTGACCGTTCTTCACTTTAGTGTAGCAGGGCCCGGTCCTGAAAGATATATCGTAAAATAACTCGGCGATAAAGCAAAAGATACATGTATTTACCTGTAATCAGTTTCACAACGTCTTCCGGTATACCCGTAGATGCAGGCGCAGCGATCTGGGCCGATGCATCTTCCTTGGTTCAAGCAGGGCTCCCGACAGATAGCTAATTCACGATTTCTAATTAATTATTTGCACGGAAGCTTACTTTACGTGCCGCAAGATTTGTCTTAGTTCATATATTATTGGTTTTACTCACGTTCGTTGCAAAATTCTCCCTGGTATCCATTACGACACTGGCACCGGCCGTCGACGCAATTTCCATTTATACAGTGAACTCTGCACCCACCGTTCTCACCGCGATCACCGCGTTCACCGGTCTCGTGGGTGATAACTGTTAAACGAATTTGATTTTAATTCAGGCATCTACACGAATTTGTGGACGTTACTCGTGGGTGTTCCTGATTCCCGGTAGAATTCTTGAGGATGCTTTCTAAACTGACTGCTTTTAGAAATAGTCTGACTATTTTATGAGATAGAATGGAAAGAGTCGGTCGAGGTCATGTTCGATACATATCTCACCTTTGCTTTGTCCGCTAGTACAGGTAGAAGCGACGATGTCACCTTCGCATAAACAGATGTTGGGTTTTATGCATCTCCCTAGAGGACCGCAGCGTCTCGTACAAATCGCTGAAATTCAAATAACATTTAAAATAGTAAGCGCTTCTTCGAGCGTGCTGTACAAATTGTGCATTAATATTTTTTTATATTTAATACATTATTTTTATTAAAAATATCAGAATGCAATCCATATAAAACTACATTATAATTAATTATAGTTTTAATTTGAAGGCGGACATTGAGCAATTTCCGTAACGGTTTATTAATTGCGAATTAATTAACGGTTAATCACACAGAGACGTAGAGAAAGAAAGAGAGAAAGATAGAAAGAAAGACCCGGAAGTTGATGGAACGTAGATCACGAAGTGTGGCCGCATTACCAGACAATGCGATCAACAGGAAGCATATAACAGGTCATTAAACCAGTTTTATTCGTGGTGACTGCTCGTGTCGCATAAATGCCTATTTGTCCGTTATGTAATTGCACGATCATTATCAACGTCCGCGGGCAATACCGAATGATAATGATAGGTGGTTATTCGCGCGCGATATTAATAACTGCTTTCTATCCTGTGAGTATTCTGCTGCAGGCTCCGACGGTTATTTATTCTATTTGACACGAGGATCGCGAGGATACGTTATTGCGTCTTCCGTAGTTAATCGTTTCGTTTAGCATCGTTTTGTACTATTATTGCTTTTCCATTTCAACGGGTTTTATTTCTTCTACACGCGTTAGAGTTGGACTCTACTATTTGAATATTGCTTAGTAGCAATAGCACATTCACGAAAGTGATATTTATGGATGAGAAAAAAAGTAGTTAACATTGTCTTTACTTACGAATAACGCACAGTCCTGTTTCTGGTTTTTTTGTCCATCCTGGACAGCAATAGTTTTTATACCTCGATCTACACACGTTTGGCCTGGAAACAGTTTTCAATTTGTCAGTTTTCTGAAATCGCTTTACGTTATATATGCGTGAATCTGTTATCGTTCATGAAGTATATTCGTCTGAAACTTCTTCATTAGCTTTCGAATTTACGCGAGTTAGTGGTCTCTCTGTATGATGCCAGCTCGAAGAAGCCGCAGGCGGAAACGCCGTGTTTCCGCGGCATTTCCGCGGTATCGCGCAAGAAAACGGTGGCACGTGCAAGAAAACAGGAGCGAAAAAAGGGGAAGAATGGGAAGAGAGCGGAGTGCCACTTCAGAACAAGGAGGCCATTCACATCTGGCGCCTCATAATTAACGTCAGCTGCTATAGATCGGCTCTAAACGCCTCCACTTAGGCCTCTCGGCGCCGCAATCGCAAACGCGGGAGCACCACCGACTGCTTTCTCACGTCGCGCCATTTTTTATTGTGCCAGATAACACGATTGTTATCTGACACGGTTTGTAGGACTTGGAGCTCTGTATTTCTTAAAATCCGGATAGATTTCAAAATCTTCAGTCCCGACTTTTACAGTCCTAGACTTTTGAGTCCTATACAGAGGAATACTATAGAATTTTGTCATATAAACTGTCAACTTTTATATACATTTTTTATTCTGCAATGTTTTTTAACATTGCTGAAAATAGACTTATTAATTACAAATTTTTATCTCGCTAAAAAACATACTATATTTTTTAACAATAGATTCAGTTCTTTGTATACACTGAAAGAAAAATATCTACTATTTAATAAAATAAAAACTAAAAATCATTCAACGGATATTAATAACATATCTATTTAAATCCTTTCATTGAAGTAGAATAAACAGTTGCTTTCATGAAAAAGTTTTAAGAAAAAATATATTTTATTTAAGGAATATTTTATATATTAGTATATGATTATATAGTATAACTAAATGTGTTATTTTTATGTACTCACATCGAATAAATTTTTTTTTCTATGTATAAATACCACATATAAAACGGAAGGATAATCAGTTAAGACCAAATATCGATCATGTGATTTCTAGTTACAAATTATGTAGCAATTTTTTACTATAAAATTCTCTTTATGTAGCGTGGTATTTGGATTTTTTTACATGTTGGAAGTGCTGGGATTTCGGATTTTTTGAATTTTAAAATCGAATTGTTGAATTTGAAGATTTTTAGAGACAGAGCTGCAGGTGATCGTGCCACACGTTGGCCCTCTGCATTCCCCTGCGTGCCCTTTAGGCGTAGCGAGCCTGATAAAGTAACGCGATAACTTGTTATGCGCATTTCTCGTTTCGCTAGCGTGAGAGAGATTAATGTCTTCGCGTATCCGGCATTTCTCGCTCTTCCTTTTCGCTTCTTCTCTCCGTGACTTCTGACATACGCGTTACACGCTTGGCGGGTATCGTATTCGCGGACATGGACATCGCGCGAGAAGTGGAAAAGGTGAAGGAGTGTTTATAAGACAATATTAAAAAGAAGAAAAAAAGGAAACGTGTACACACATCGCTCACCGTGCGATGGAGCAATCTTGCTCAAACAGTGGCCCACTAACTGCACAGAGTACACATACTTGACGAGTGTTTGCATGTGATTACGTTACTAAACGACCTCGTGTTCTCCTGAATCCATCATTATGCAAACAGTTTGGTGTTATAAAACACTCGACTCCAAACTCGTTTAAGAGTGAATCTCTTCTCCGCTTGTGACATCCTGTATTTTATTGTTTCTTCAGCAACGATAAAATCCCGCTGAAATGCCGGTCACCATTTCGGCGAGGATGATTAAAATCGACAGTGACTGATTTTGATGTTCGCCGTTAATTGGAAAATTATAGCGAGGAGCTCGCGTCTGAGTAATAATAATAATAACAATAATTGGCGGCGGGATTACGAGGACGTGGGCGATTGTCGCCCCGCGGTCGAAAGCTTCAATCCAATTTGTATGTAAATGGTCGCTCCTTTGGAGATTGCTCCATCGCCGAACTTGTATCGCGGTATGATCACATTGATCAATACGTGGGCACTTTAAACGCACATCGACAGGGTGTAATTTTAACACCCGCTCCTAATGATAGCCTGTCCTAACGAGGCCTGAAATCAATGCGCGAAGTGTTCGTCGGCCGATATCTTCATTTGAAGATCTTTGCAATGGTTAGCGCCCATTTCTCGTGGAGTTGGTGAAGATGTTAGGTTTCGTCTCTGTTGGCTCTTTCTACATTTATTGACAGCGCTAACTAATATTGAATTATGTAATAAGCAATTTTGAGTTTTTCTAGTTAAATAAAACGTTTGTATGTTGTTATAATTTTGTGGAATAATACATACGTTATCTTGATCTATGATCTGCCATTCGCATATATTGTTTTATAAAATTACAATCACAAAATCATTTCATCTGAAAAACCCGAAATTACTTATTACATAACAATTTTTAGTTTCCCCTATAAAGGTACTAGTACAGTATTATCACCTATTGAGTTGGAAAGAGACGCTATTAACTATAACATCATCCGTGAATTGCTGTACGTATTAATCAAGGAACGCCCTGTCAGTGCCTAGATAGCGTAGACTCAATTAATATCCGAGTCGTAATTAGCTAACTGCTACTTGAAAGAGTTCAATTGGAAAGTGCGCTGTAATAGCTTTGAAGCGGCCGCCCTCGAATTGTCAGCCATTTAAATTAAAATGATCAAAAGGCGACTGTGTCTTTTGATCGCAATTAAGGACGAGCAAACAACAGCGTGTTTTGCGCGTGCGAAGGATTGCAACCGCAAAAAGCACAGCCACGGCAATTGTTTGCGGTTCGCTTAAACGGGTATTGTGTCACAAGTGCAATTGGTCACGGTATTGCGGCACGAATGCGATTACGTCGCACGCGAGAGATCGCATATCGAATGTATGCCGATATCTTAACACCTCACCGCTGCTACCGTTCATTCGGAGAACCACCGTAGGACATCCTGTATTTTTTATATAATAGTATAAGGTAAGTTCGTGTCCACAACCTTGACATAAGCCATAAAAAATTGATCAACTACAGTCGATTCTTCTTCTAAAAATCGACCATGATTGGTCAATTTCTTACGACTTACGTCTTGAAGTAAGGTTGTGGACAAAAGCTTACGTTCCTAACTATTAAAAGTTAGACTAACTTCCAATCATTTACATAAATTTGGCGATAGAACATCAAAGCGGGTAATGAACGTGTTAATTCGGTTAAATATCTGACCAATTACGTTTCTGCTTTGGAACTCAGAGGTATATATTGAAATTTTACTTCTTTGGAACTCAGAAATCTTGTAATCTCGTGGAGCTTTCTTTCTAGGACTGCGACACAGTCGCGGTTCTGGTACACCTTATATAATCTTTTCTTTCTTTACGTCAGGAATTATGTTGCGTTATAATCGCGCGCGGCGCGTAACGAGCTTAAATTACGCGTTAAATTAAAATTAGTCGGCATGATGAACAACGCAAAAACAACTTAACGCGCATGACATGTTTTCTTATCATTCCGCAGCTTGTCGGCTAGGTTTAATAACCTTCAGCCGCTGACAGCTTCATTACTTTGGCATCGCTTCCTGTACACTCCTGTCAAAATCTTTCTAACGATCAATGTTTTTCAATATTATCGCGAATATTTGATTTCAATGCACATATGCGCAAAATGAACATTTCTCAATATCAAAAATTAAAGTGTAGATCACGCTATAAGACATATATATCGAATCTGTCATATCACAGAATGTAGTTGGTTGTCTCTTTGCATAAACCGTGAGACTGATTTTTTCGAATGTCCAAGGTGCCGATATTGAGTCATGAACGGCGCCTTGTCATGGAGTTGCATTAGAAGTTGCACTAGCGACTCTAATGCTAACCGCCTCTACATCCCAAGAAGTTGCTCCTTCACTTCCTGTCATCAGCATCAGCGTAACGCGCGACTCAAATCAGTCTAAGTAGTTTGGACTAACCGTGAATAATTTCCTAAGTGGTGGTCCCGTTATACGTGAAACCGACCCTATATCCTATTTTTTACGTTCTCATGAAGTAAGAATCAAGATGGCATTTGATCTGTTACACGATAGATCAAGTGGATGACGTCAAAGCGCTCTCTGTTCGCAAATTTTCTTTGATCGTGGAGTGTCCGAAAGCGCATATTTGGTCCACTTTTGGGAGATCTTTTCCTGCTCACGAACTGTGATCGATTGTTCTCGCGTTCCTTCGTATCCTATTATCGTTCAAACGACGATGACATACGGCGAGGTATCACACACGCGGGGCATCGTTCAGCGAAATGATGAATCGCCGGCACAATATGCTCATAGACGTACCGGATGATGATGAGCGGGTCATCTCGCGGAGCCGATAAAAACGCAGCAGAATGTACTTCATATTCCGGGGTAGTGTGCGCTTATCGCGCCCGCTCGTCCGCATTCCACCGCGCTAATTAATTAACGTGGAGACGCGCGTTTATCAACGCGGCAGATAATGCAGCTGCAGCCCGTGCGGAAGAGAAAGAGGCGCTTACGCCAAACGAAACGTCTTTCGACAGTCGCGAGTCATAAAAGTTTATACGGCTACCTAATATATCTCGCGGTTTTATCTCGGCATCCGGATTTCCCGCTCTAATTTAACTGTTCGCGCTGACAACAAACCGGCCTACGTGTGGCTCAACACGAATTTCCGAAGGTGCAAGAGTTTCTCTGTAAGATAAAAATACTAATGCTCAGGACATTCGTTGTGGACTCTAAATATGAATATTCGAACTTTTAATGAAAAATATATATACATACATTCTATGTTGAAAGTTTAAATGTGACAAAGTAAAAGTACCAAAAATAGTAATAAATGTATCAATATTTCATCGTTGGTATTTTTCTTAACCGCAGTTCTTGAATGGGCTACTTAAAATGTGCGATTGTTAAACATTCAGCATTTTAAGTAGCTAAAGGTGCAAGATAGAGAGATGTTTGTTGCGACTCGACGAACACACGATGAACTGTAAAACGCTTAATCAGCAAACTACACTGATAACTGATGCCCTACAATCGCTGAACTTTGTCATTTATCGTTTTGTATTCCTCTAAATGTAAAGATAATGGCACGAAGCAAATTTATTCATATTATAACTGACTAGCAAGATTATAGTTTGTAAGAGATCCGCGTACATTTTGTCGCAATCGCTGATGACATGCGAGAAATTATTCTTGCCTCAATAGCTGCAATTAAATAATGAAGGACATATCGATTGAGTAATTCTATGTCCGCGTGTTTTAACGTCACTTGATACAAGCGGGTTAATTTCAAGTTCGAGTCTTTATGAGACGCGATTAGTATCCATCCCAGTTGCACATTATAACGATGAAATAGTAGAAATTAGTGTTGAAACCATTAGATTATTCCATGAAACTAGGTCTACTGATATTCCCACGCGGATTTGAATTGTAACGTTTGCATAAATATGTAAGCTCGCAATCTGACTCTTTTGTAATAAGCTCTTATTAGGTCACGCAAGATTTAATGCGAAATGTACATATATGTTTGACTATATGTTTAACATATTTTTTAAATATTTTTTAAAATATAAACATGTGTATGTATAGATTATATAACTTGACCACAACTTAAATGCACAACTTAAATGCAATTTAAATACAACGTAACGTAACCTAGGTATTTATTCGCTTAATTATTAGAATTATTAAACTAAATATTTTATACTTTGTGAATCTTGAAATTAAAAAATTTCACTTCATTGTACGCGTGAAACTTTAGTATTTTGATCGGATCTTTATTAATTTTATAGATTTTAGAACACTATACGTGCGCGAAATTCTAAAACTTGAAATTGTGAAAATTTTGGAACTCTCAGCAGTTTATTGCTTGAGGTTCGGAAATAAATGTAGATTGTCTCAGAGTGTTCAGTAATTGGACAAAATTAGGTTAATAAATTGCGATCGGTACGTATAAAAAACTGGAAAAGTATTTCCGCCCCCCCCCCCCCCCCCCCCCC